CTGCCCAGGCACGAAAGCCCCACCAAGGAGACGCGGCGTGCCTACTAGACAGGAGAGGGTGCACCGGCAGGCAGGCGCGAGCACCGGGAAACGCGGAGGCATTGGTTTGAAACTAGTATTTGCATTTCCTCAGCAGAGTACAGAACTCCCCATACGTAACAGATGTTCTTAAAATACAGAACAAAACTCGGTTAATGAAACTTCACGCCACCCCTAGAGAATAGCTGTACCTGCTGTGAATACGGAGCCACCTCGAGTCCCCGGCCGAGCAGCCAGGGCCTCGGAGCAGATCAGCAGCACAGGCTCCTGTCAAGTCCTGTAGCCATGTTTTTCCAGTCTGTTGTATTTTTGTTGTTGTTGGTTTGGTGGGTTTTTTGGTTTTGTTTTTTTTTTTACTGTGTGATGTCTCAGTAAATACTTCAAGCTACGTTATCTTTAGTTACAGAAAAAAACTGGTGGAAAAAGCAGTTTGTCCCTTTCTCGTATTTACAGCAAACATCTACCCTGAGCGACTCATTTCCTTTGGTCTTTCCCTTTTATGCTGGGGTGCTGTGGCTCATCCCAACAACCCTTCTGTTTTAAGCTCTATAATTACTGGATTCGGCTGGCTGCCCCACTGGAAGTGGAGGGAATATTTCTCAAATCAGCAGTGCCTTTTGAAATGGAAGAAACTTTTTAAATGCAGGTACTAGATGCATTTTTAATTAGACACGCTTCCATTCTTCCACTGCTGCTAATGCTTTCAGTTAGGAAGTGCAGTTCTTCCCCGACTCTGCAAATATCTACCGAAATTTGCAAAGCTGCCTGTCTCTCTCAGTAACCTTGCTGTGACCTGGTTATCTGTTAGAACCACAAAGAATTCGGTCTCTAATTAGTCCATCTGTTAACTATTGAAATTCATGGCTTAGTTTTATTGTCTGGGTCTGTAACATAATGCTGAATGGTCTCACCTGACAGCTTATTTCTTATAAAGCAAATGTGCCTTTCCAAGAGCCATTTTGGTGCAGATAACTGTCTTTTCAGCATTGGACAAATGACTCTGTCTAGCAGCCTGCAGTCCCCTTCATGCCTTCACTGAAATAAATTGTACATCTCCAATAGCTCTGGGCTTAAGTCAATACAATTTAACATGTACATTTCTTTGTTATATTCTTTGGAGTTACACCGTAAGAGCAGATGGGAAAGTTTAATAATGATAAATGAGTTTAGTGTTTTCACATCGTCCTAAAAAACAATGAATGCTCTTTATTAAAGATTAGAGGGATTTTTACATATTTGCCAAAGAGCGATTAAAGCTCTAGCTCAGATCCTCAGAAAGTCTTGCTTTTAAATTCTTTTTGGACTGTTTGTTAATAAGGATTCAGAGGAATTAGGGGCCATAAATTTCTTCATTCTCGCTTAAATGAAGCCACAAAGTGATTACTGGATATATAACTAAGTGCTGAGAACTGGAGTTTATCAACTGCGTTCACACAGAACAATTCATCTCCTCGCTTATTTACTGCAGTTGTGCATCTCGTACGTAATCGGATGATGGGGCTGGGCAGGTCGAGCTCATCAGTGGATTTTTAGAAGGATGTAGACTCGTAAATACACGTGGTAGGTCTCAGTGGGACTGTTCGCACACTTTGCATTAAGCGTGTGCCCGCATGTTTTGTTGCACCGGACCCACGCTCGGTACAGTTGGACGCAGTAATGCGCAGATGCATCTGCCCAGCCTGAACAGCCTGCCATTGTGCACCAGCTGGGCGGCTGGGAGGGACTGGTTTCACTGGGCTGTGCAGTGGCTTTTACAATTACAGTCGGCGGCTGAATACGGACACAAACAAGTACGCATTCCTGGAATCCTGGTACCTGAATCTTTCCTCCTTGCTCTCGAAACTAGTGCATGAGATACTCAGTCAAAACCATGAAGCCCCAGTGCCTTTTTGAACAGAAATTGCCACATTGGAAAGCCCAGGGAGTGCTGCAGGAGCTCCGGACCTGCTGTGCGACACTTTGCCTAGCAACAGAAACACATGCTCTCCAACACATGCTCTCCAATTCCAGGTCTGCGTGGCGTGCCGTTTGGTGAGGGATTCTGCCCATTTGATGTTTTAATATGTTTTCCCTCCAAAAGGAGGGAAAAATGGCAAAAAACCTGATACCTACCTGCAAACACATTTTTTGAAATAGTTGAAGAATAAGAATCCCCTGTAGCCATCTGTATCCTCCAGTGCAGCTTACAGCTGGCTCAGCCCCACGACCCTTTGGGTGTGAGCACCCACTTCCATCGTTCCCAACTTTGACACTGGAATCCTCCTCTCTTTGCTGTCTTCCTGGATTTTAAAATGGGATAGTCCAAACTGTAGACAAGATTATGGCTTGTTTGGCTTGGCTCTACTATGGGAAGGAAAGTGATTTTTCTTGGGGAGTGATGAAAAGGAAAAATGTAGAAAGTTCATTAACCTTTGGTACAGATAGCAGTGTCCTTTAGACTACACCAGAGCTATTCTTAGTCATGACGTTTAAGTGGTTATTTCTTATTGTAAGGGAATACAGTAGTTCCCACTAGTGGTGAAAAGAAAGAACTTTTTTCCTTCTGGGTTTTTTTTTTTCTTTTCTGTTTTGGCTTAACCTAAATGTGAACTGTAGAACGCAAGATTTTGAATTCATTCCTTGTCTTCCCATCTATGCTATTTTGTCCTAATTTTGCCAAAAGCAAAATTTATATCTATAAATTGTTTCTTTACTGGCTAATTAAGTGTTATACAACTTTGCTCTGAAAAACTCCGCAACCCATTCTGTGTATTTGCAAATAAACGTCGCTGATTGTCATTATTGCTATAGGGTGCCTACAGAAAGTCCCATATAATTAAGCTGTTGTACTGCCACAGCACAAGAGCCGCAATTAGAAATGTGATTTACACTTCTTTACCATTAATAATATGGAAAAATCCACATTATTTTCTTGATGATGCTTAGGAGAAATTAGAATGAGGTGGACATGATTAGGAAAAGAGACTTTAATGTTATGACTTGTTAATGCAATAGCCCTGAGCGAGACATCAGAATGATTGTCCTTGCACTAAACTCATTTGCTTCAGTAAGCACAGACCCTCTGCACGCAACAAGACAAGTTTGGAGGAAATTGGATAGATGGCAAGGATTTTGGTGGTATGAACATTTCAGTGTCTTTCATGTGCAGAGTACACAAACTGAATCCCTGCACTTTCAAATATTCCCCTGGAGGCGATCTGCATTATTCAAAGCTTAACTATGGCTGCAGAATCCTGCCTGACATGAAAGCAGAGTGCTAGCTTTACATGAACTTTCATATTTACATCTGTAGTACATCATATTTACTTTTTTCCTCCCCTCCCTCTTTTTCTGTGGGAGAGAGGGAGTAAAATGGGTAGGAGGGAAGGGGGAGGAGGAGAGATGTCCAGCAGAATTGTAAGCAAAGCACCAGTAATAAAGTCTAGTCTTATGAGACTGCCCATGAATAGGAATGATAATGAGAGCAGTGATGAGCTGCAGGTTTGTGTCTTTTAGTAAATTATCTAGCAGGCATTTACATTTCATCAATTGTGCTTTTGCATAATAGACCGAAGTGCTACAACAAAAGGAGGCACCATAAAAATGAATAATTTCAGTGACCTTCTTGGTAATCACTCTTACAGAGAATATCTTGGAAGGAGTTGGGTGATTCCTCATGGTGAAGCTGCTGTGGAAAGGCGCCCCAGGCCCAAGAAGCTTGCCTGGTGACAAATGCCTTCCAAGGCTTTCTTTTGGCCACTCTGAAACATGGCTCGTATCCTGTTTTCTCCATCTAAGCATGCTTCTAATTGTCAGATGTCAAAAGGCAACAACCATTTTCTACTTGCTTATCTCCTGATAACATTGATTCTCAAACAAAGGATGTGGGCTTCCATTCTGAAAACAAAGGAAGCATGGCCCAGCTAAGGATGCTGGATATAATATACATACATTTCCCTGCCAATAATAACAAAACATCATAAATAATGTAGAAGCTGGATGTGAAAATGGAGAAAGGGGAATACACTGGTGCTGCTGTTCTGGGTACAGCACTTACAGAATCTTGTCCTCAGTGAGGCCTTGACTTCTTCCCTTGTTTTTCTCTTGTATTTCCCTGACTACCTGCCAGCTCCTCAGATGTTTAGACTTTAGTATTTTTTTAATTCTTTTTCCCATTTGGGTTGTGTCTTCATTGTGTTCTTGTGCGGTTTTTCTTCTTTTCTCCCCACACTGCTCCTTCTTTGGAGGCAAGGCCTCAGCTGGTGAAAGTCAACTCAGATCTTTCATTGAGGACATTGAGGACTGGCGAGGCCAGTTTGCACCTGCCAGGAATCAGGCCCACTGCATTACTGATATGTGCCCGGCCAGGACCTGACCCTGCGTTTTTGCATGTTCTCCTCTTCTTTCACAATTAGCTCTCCTTGTTTGTCCCATCATGGAACCCACGAGAACCACTTCAATCCCAGGCCCACATCTTCCCCATCTTTGCAGGTCCCTGGTCTGATGGCGCCTTTTCCCCTCCTCTGCCTTTAGTTTGCTGTTTTCTTTTACTGCAAGCTTCTCCTTTATATCCAATTGCCAAATCCCACCCTGATGCAACTTTTCTTTCCTTATGTCTTTCAGTGTAACAGTTGGGGAACTGGTGGGAAATGTGACGCTTTACTCACATCCCTTCTGCCAGCCAGGCAGCCATGTGACTCCAGTAATGGTAGTGAATCAGTCCCATAGCCCTGGGCTGGTCACAAAGAATTTTGGATTAACCTTTTGCTTCTCTCACTTCTTTTTGTGCTGATCCTCAGAAATCAGAGCAGTCGCCTACCCCTCACCATCCTCACCGTGACATGCGGGTCCTTGTGAATCCGCAAGGTGTTTTGGCCTTGGGACAGCTAAGACCAGAGAGAGGGCATCAGCAGAGAGGATAAGGGCTTCTGTTGTTATCTCCCTGATGAGATTAATTTTCTTTTTTTCATCTTTCTTGGCAGGATCAAAATGCTGGAATTGTTGCCAGACTTCAGGAGCCGGGCTCCATCCCAAGTGGAGGCTCTGTGCCGGCACCAGCCACGGTGAATGGGTACACGATGAGGAACCATTTACTGAAGCAGCAAATAATGAAACGACAGCTGATGCAGGTACGATGCCGAGTGCCTCCGTGGGTTCCTGTGCTGTCCATCTCACTGGGATGGACAGGACTGACTGGAATGGGGAAATCATCAGTCAGCAAACACTAAGGAGTTACCCTGGAATTGCTGGGTTGAGTCAGACTAGGGCTGTGGTGAGTCCAGGATGTCATGCCCAAGAGCGGCCAAGGCCAAGTGCTGCTCGGCAAGTCCAAGTGCAGATCTGCCCACTCATATGCAAAGGAAGGATTCAGTCACCTCCATATCATTGCCGTCATCCTTGGTCAGCCACAGGGTTGGGAGGGAAGATGCAGAGAAGGGAGGCTTGGAGAGTGAGTCAGCCCCAGGAGCGATGTTCTCCATGCTTGTCTTTCTCTCTGGTTCCTTGGGGATTTACCAGAGCAGATGTTAGACTCCAGTTTGTCCTGGGCTTTGCGGGTCTCTAGCAACAGAAGTCCCTGTACGAGGTTTGTGACATGGTGTGTGAAGGAGCAGGGATGGGGGAATCCCACAGACGAGTCGGGTGGGGCAGCATTGAACATGTGCCTCTGACTTTCTGAGTGTGCTGCTGGATTTGGATCAAGGAGGCTCATTTCTTTGGATGGGAAATGAGATGAGAAATAGTTCAGTAAAACCCTCAACCGAGTACTGTCCTGCTCATTGATCAAACTCCCTTTCAAAACCAACTCTGCCTCCTTGTCATCAGTTGGCTTCAAGTTTACCTGTGCTGCTCTACCACAGTGGGAGTTCAGCCAGGCCTCAGCTTCCACCGTCCACAGAGAGTTCCCCAGGCCACAGCTGCTGTCCGCCAGCAGGGATGCGCGTGTGGTGGTGGGTTCTGGCGTTAAGTGGTGGGAGATGCAAATCAGGTCACTTGGAGGAAGCCAGCAACGCCTTGCTCGGGGAGCTGCTGAGGATCCCTGGCTTCCTGCGGCTCACTGCTGTGTTCTGGTTAGAAGTGGCAACCAGCACAAAGGGTGGTGGTACACACGACCAGAGAGGGTAATGGCCACCAGCGGTCTCCTGTTTGTCAATGTGTCCCTGCAATGCTGCCACAGATTCTGTTCACTAATAGACTTTTGGGCATCTTTTGTCACTGGATCTGGTACTTCAGAGAACACGTCCAAATAGTCAGCACGAGAGGTGCTGGGGAGATGCCAGGAATCCTGCAGCCTCCGCCTGTGCTGCACTTCACTCATAAGCTGGTGAACACGAGGGTCTCCATGTTCATCCAGCTCCCGTTGGGCCTTGGGCCGCCTGCACAGCATTGCTGAAGGCTGCGCTTCCTAATGCTGGGCTGTTGTCAGGACACCTTTGCAAGAAGGGGCATGGCACCAATTAAGATCCGGTCTGAAATGAACTGAATGGGCTGAGTCTCATCGGGCGGGGGGCGGTGGGGTGCATATGGAAGAGGTTGTTAATGATGACAGTGGCAACACTTCAAGCGTCTGCTGCTATTCTCGTTTGTCAAGGGACTGCAACTTGACTATTATGCCCCTTGTTTTCCAGGAAAAGCAGAGACAAAACATGCTGGGAGTAACATCTGAGCAGAGGAGTTTGTTTGCAGCTCAGCAGATAAATCAGTTTCAAGGTAAGGAGGGAAACAGTGTGCTGTGAAAAGCCTCAAGCAGCCGGGGCCTGGGGTCTGATTAAATACAGGGCGCTTAATGATTCTCTGCCCTGAAATAAGAGCATTTCACATTTTATCACGTATCATGAGATTCACCCGTTTCCGTTTATCGCTCCAGTAAAACTCTGTTACCGAGAACACAGAGGAGAGGCCGATGTAACGAAAGAGAAAGACGGAGCAGCAGCCTTTTAGGCTCTGCCACGTTTCCAGGGTGAACGTGCGCTCACCAGCTAACGTGTCTCTTTGTACGCAGCCGTGCAGCAGCCCATCCCCGCCGACTGCGGCCAGGTGATGCCAGCTCCTCCGCCCAACCACCGCATGCTGCCGTCTAACCCAGCCATGCTCCAGAGCACCTTGGGCTCTGGCAGGGCCCCAGCCACTGCCAGCCAGAGCAGCGGGACGATGGTGATGATTCCACACAACCCTGGCAAGCAGCAGGGGATTTTTCCGCCTAATTCTGACTTTAACATCCCGCTGCGGACAAGCCAGAACTCGCTGGGCATGAACTCGGGGTGCCAGAC